GGAGAAGGGACTGTGGCGTGGCCATCCCCCCTGGGGGGTGATTTCTCGCTTTCTGTCTCTCTGTCTCTCTCTGTCTTTCTGTGAGCGCACATGCCCTGCCTGTAGCAAAAACCTCTCCAAAAAAAGAAAAAAAAAAAGAGAAGTCAGCTATATAGGATTCAGCACTATAACCACAATGCCACCTGCTGGCCCCCCAAATCTGATTCTTATTCATTCATAAATAGTGGCTTTTTTCTTTCTGAAAACTTTAAGGATTCTTCCAGTATTCTGAAAACTTGTAAAGATGTGGGTCTCTCAAAGTCCTTGTGTTGTTTGCTTGGTAAGTCCTTTCAGTATAGAAACTTCTTTCTTTAACCTTTGGAAGATTTTGTTGTATTGTTCATTACAAACTTTGGTAAATTTCTGATTTCTTTCTTTATTTGGAATACCTGTAAAACTGGACCTCCTCGGTAAATCTGTCTGTCCTTTCATGTCTTCCATCTCTTTGTGTTTTTTTTTTTTTTTTTTTGCCTTCCTTTCTAGATGTATTTTGTTTAACTTTCTATTGAATTTATTTAAGCCATCATATTTTTATTTTATAAGAAGATTTTCTTGTTCTCATATTTGCCACTTATATAATATTGTCTTTATTTTGAATGAGCTTTTTGAATATCGTTATAATAATTATCAAAAAATTAAAATTCTCTTAGATTTTCTAAAACGACGATCACGAAGGAAAAAGTTTATACCTCACAGATCCCTAGGAATTGGAGACATGGCATAGCATTCAGATAGCCACAGAGGGAAGTTCCAGGGTCAGTCACAGGAAGTCTCCTTCTCGTGAGGGGGGAAAAGTGGATAAGAGCCTTTATTGTGGTTTCCGTGGGAAGAAATAGGCAAGGCAGGTAAGTCAAGTTAGGATGAGTGAGTCTGAATAATTCTAGTGGGGCCTGGGTTAGAGGCAGCATCTAGTTGCGTAACCTGATCCGGGTGGCTAGTTCAGGGAAATAGTGGCCTGGGGGTATAAGAGCCCCATGAGAGTGTGGTAAAGGAAGTGCTTGGGGGTATGACCTCTGCATTGGTTGATTTGCATAGGAAAGGCACGGTCAAAAGCACAGGTATCAAAAGTAAAAATAGAAAGCTTGGACTGTATCAAAATTAAAAGGCCAGCAGGTGTCACGGTGGTTAAGGTGGCTGGATTCCACATGGCTGACTATGCAGTTCAAGTCCTAGACCCGGTGACTTGAAAAACATGCACTGGACACCCACATGGCTGACTGCAATTCAAGTCCTGGACCTGGTGACTTGCTTTCTCACTTTCTCTCTCCCTCTCACTCACTCTGTCCCTCTCTGGTCAAATATAAATAAATAAATAAAGTTAATAAAAAAATTCTGAAAACAA